GAATATGAAAACAGTGACTTCATTACAGATGATAAGAACCTACTAAGCCTAAGAGCACTGAGTGGAGATGAGATGTATGAAGACGTCAACATAAGTGTTGAACTGACTGGCAAGCATAAGAAAGAGGAACAGAATCTAGATTACCCTGTACAGTAGCTAGGCTTCTTGTTTTAGTTGTTACATATACTTAGAGATTACCCTGTACAGTAGCTAGGCTTCTTGTTTTAGTTGTTACATATACTTACAGATTATCCTGTACAGTAGCTAGGCTTCTTGTTTTAATTGTTACATATATTTACAGATTATCCTGTACAGTAGCTAGGTTTCTTGTTGTAGTTCTTACATTTACTTACAGATTATCCTGTACAGTAGCTAGGCTTCTTGTTTTAGTTCTTACATATACTTACAGATTATCCTGTACAGTAGCTAGGCTTCTTGTTTTAGTTCTTACATATACTTACAGATTATCCTGTACAGTAGCTAGGCTTCTTGTTTTAGTTCTTACATTTACTTACAGATTATCCTGTACAGTAGCTAGGCTTCTTGTTTTAGTTCTTACATATACTTACAGATTATCCTGTACAGTAGCTAGGCTTCTTGTTTTCTGAAAATCTCCAGGACCCAATTTTTTTTAAAAAAATTTTTGTATAACAGGTTTCTCTGCTAACTTAGAGAAAATTTACCTAAAATATAAAAATATTCATTTTGAGCAAGTTGTGTTTGTTTTCAGGTGTTTAGTGTATGTGATCACTTATAAGTTTCTGCTGATATGTGCATGCCAACAAATCTTTGTTATTGGCTAAGAAAAATATGCAGTATTAAACAAATACTGTTAATAACAACACTTACTTAATAAGACAATTTCTGTGTCTGATGTCCATGCTTGTAATATAAGTCATAGAGAATATGTAAGCTACATAGAATTATGAATTGAGATCACAGCTATCAGTTTGGTTTGGTGAATATTAGAATACATCTTTTTATACTTATTATTGGTTAAAGTTAAGAAATATTTTAGATTCAATAAGAATATATTTTCACTTATATTTCAGGTGTGTATTGAAAATGGATCATCACTGCCCTTGGTAAGTTTGTGTAAAAGTTGATTTTATTAAAATGTTTTATTGTTATTCCTGGAGACACAGTATACTTGTGTTTCTGTTGACTTACGATCTATGGAGAATATAAATTATGTGTTGGGTCATATACATGTGGTTAAAATAAATGCTGCACGTAATTGTTATTGAATTTAATATATAACTAAATATTGATTTGCTTAAATGTATGCCGTAGGTGAAATAATTTTATCATTGAAGGCACAAATGATCTAGTAGAAAACTGCTTATTATACCTTGAAAAAGATGAAATGCATCAATAAAAAGAATAAAAGTAAATTGATATTATAATTTTTTTTACAGTCTTCAAATATTATTTAGATAAATGAATTGTCTTGTGTTACTTCTTTGAAGCTAAGCTGATACCCAAACTAAACAAATAGTGTCTACATGTACAGTTGTCGAAAAAAAATTTTAATCGGGCTGAACTTGTCCTAGGCTTAAATAGTCATTGTTGATGACAGAAAATAAGAATAATCTAGATCACTTAAGTCTTACAGAGCCATTTAAGATATCAGTCATGGTTAATACCATGGTAATGTTTATGGCATGTCCTATTTGAAGAAGAGTTAGATTTTACAAAATGGTTGAAAGGGTTACATATTGATGAAAAAAACATTAAAAAACTGAGATATAGTTATTGTGTTTGTACATGGAGAATAATTTTTTAAATAGTTCTAGGTAGGTTTAGCAGCTTGACATGGTTTGATAGGCATGCAACACAGATAAATTAATTTGTCAAAAATGCATGGTAGGTAGATGAAACAGTTGGAATGAGAGAAATATACATTTTGTATAAGCTAATTATAAATGCAAAGATTTGAAAATCAAGTATCAGAAAATTTAAACAATGGAATTTACAGGTTTATGTGTGTGTGTGTCGT